ACCACTAGTGGCAACTATGACGTATACGAGTTGTGCTCATTTTATTTCGTTCAAGGTATTGAAGGACTGGTACTTGAATTTTCTCACAATGACATGAGTAGAGTTGACGTTTCCATTGAACTCCACATAGCCTCGCTTTCTCAAAAAGGTGTTTTTATCCTGATTGAACCACAGTTTCAACCTTACTTAGATCCTATCAACACTTCCGGCGAGACTCAGACCATCATAGTGCAGCGTGCAATCTCGACACATGAATCACTACGTCACGTTGCCACGAGTTCCCTTGGTTCACAGGACAAATGTGAATTTCGAGAAAGGCCAGGCCTTTTCCCATATCACATTATTTGGTGTGATTGTCCATGAATAAAATTTAAATTTGCTATAACAATCGACCGAATTACTTATTTTTAGTTTATAAGTAGGGTTTCGATGGAAGCGAGTCTATGTGAAATGCAATGGGATGTTCGTGTCTAATCATATCATTGTGGAAAAATTCAATTACCATTTCTTCATGACCTTAGACGAAATAGGATGAATGCAATTCATTTAGCTGATTCACTGACAGTCTTGTAACCCTATTTATGAACGAAAAAGAGTAACTCTGAATTATTGCAGCAGAGCGTAACCAACTTTAAAATTTGGGATGCATTCACCTTATCCCATTTTAGATGTAAGCTGACTGGTAGTTGAATGTTCCCCCAATCATTTGAGTAGACCCTACGTTTCTATGGAATTGCAGATGGCCTCGCTTCCCAAAAGCTAATCTCATTCAAGCAGAAATAGACTGCAGTTTCGGCCTCGCCTGGACTAGACTCATCAACAGTCCCAGTGGGACTCGAATCCGAGTTGTGCTAGCGCACATTGTTATCTCAACGTGTACAGCGCTACACCACTTCGACACGAGTGATCTTGGCCCACAGGACAGATGGGAATTTTAACAAAGCCGAGGCATTTTTGCTTATCTCATTCTATGATGGGAATGTCGATTAAGCAAATTTAGATTTGATATGGCAATCAACCATATTACTCATTCTTCGTTTCTATTATAAGTAGGTTTTCGAGAATACCATAAAATCATATGTATATATATAAGATATATTAGTCAGATTTCGTTTAAAGTGATTGCCACAGCCGGAACATAATAATCGTCCATCGTCTTCTGGTGAGGTTAGCGGAAGAATCTCTTCATTTTCACACGAAATGATAATTGTCATCACAATTGATGATCTGTCCGATTGTGTGAAGTTCAGGCCCAAATGTGACAGGTAACTGGCGGCTGAAATGGTCAGTTGTGAACGAGCAAAGTGTGCATATACGGGTGATATGGATCAAGTTGTTGGATCCGCACAACTGACAGCATCGCAATGAATTCCGGGTCAAAGTAGTTCTCATTCATGTTGCCCATTTTAGGCCTGCCAGTCTTATGCAGTTAGTGAGAAGTGGTATCAAAAGTGTCATTTGTTCTCGCCCCACAAGCAGAATCACATAAAGCTAGAACGACTTATAGTGTCGATTTTCATAGCCTTGTCGTTCCAAGGCCTTTCTCGTATGGACTATAAAACCGGGCCTTAGTCACACCGGTTTCGAATCCTATTGTCGGTGGAAACGAGGCCAAGACTGCCGTCTGGCTTGCATGATACAGCTCTTTGAGAGACAAGACTAAGGGAGCCTTGCTTACCTACCAACATCTCAAACTTGCCAGATGAGTCTAGCTCTGATAAAATGTTCATCCTCCCATACTGTGTGAGTGAGCCTAGGTTAATTTGAAGAGATAAATAAATAAATAAGGGATGTATTGTGTAAATAAATAGACAAATACATATAGAGGAGAAATAAATAAGACATAATAAAGAGCGACATGACCCCGTTGGATGTGATAATGAGCGCAGAATGGGCATGTGGATATTTTGACTTCTGAGCTACTTAGTTGGACAATGTAGCCGACTGAGAAGCTCATCTACGGTCCCAATTTTGGTCCTACGGTCTCCAAAACAGCAATGATTCTTGTTCGACATAATTCTGTCTGTATGATAGCAAAGCTGGATTTCAAAGAATTCCTTAGGAATTCATTGTGACATAACATTATATTTTTGAACAGTTATTGGTTGGAAGGAATTATTTTATTGATGTCACCAGAAACAAAGGGAAACTTGTTGAATTGTGCGATCAAGAACTCAGCCTATCGTCCTGCAATTTCTGACGGGGAATTAAAATCTTATTTGCACAAACCAATACTTCTTCGGTTTCCAGTGAGACTAACCTACGAATTCCTTCCAACCAACTTTCACCTCGAAATAAAAAATCATATCACAATAAATCTCTATGGAATTCTTCTAAACCTAGTCTATCTTCATATAAATTTCACATAATTCCATCATAAAATGTGATTTTGGAGGAACCAAGTCTGCATTGACAGACAACTCTCCCCTCTATCCCTTTGGAATCCGTATATATATATATATATATAATTAATATATTATATATTTTTAAGTATATTTTGGCACTAACAGTACTTTTTGAATATGAGTTATGGTGAGTTATGGACTGATAAATGTGCTTTCTCATAATAAAATAAACAGGCCTCGCGAGTTGTATCATTTCTATGATATTTACGACCCGGTATCGAACCTCGTTGCTGTCACTGAATAGACAGAATGTCAGAACTTGATGAAATGGTAAGAGAGTCCAGTCGGTATGGGATAAATATTTGGGGGGAATGACATCGTTTGATTGTGGTAAAATCCAACTATCAGTCCTTAAACCACTTGAAGCGATTGAGAATTATCCCAGAATGATTGATGGTCACGAAACCCACTGGACCCGAAAGATGAGGACGAGTAAAGCTTACGCATACAATCAAGAAACAACTTCACTCTCAGTCACTAGTTCTCTGTAGGCTAGTTGAATTTTCCCACAATTACACGAGTGGGCCTCCCAAACCCAATGCATTTCACATAGTCTTGCTTCCAAAAAAGGTATTTTCATCTCGGCTGGAGTGAACTTTGAGTAGCACCTCGCCTGACCTCGTCGCATCAACAACCCCAGCGGGACTCGAGCTCGGCTTGTGGTGGTGCAGCGTATGGCCTTGATACATTACCCAAATACTTCACACTACCACAACTGCATGTGAAAGAAGGACAGTCCTTTCTCATATCCCAATCTGCGGTGGGACTAACAATATATACGTTGCATTACCAAAAGAAGGGTTCGAGTCCCGTAGGGGGTACTGATGAGTCTAGTTCAAGCGAGATCGAAAGATACTCACTACTCCCACTAGGATGGGAATTCCTTTTTCAGAAACAAATCTACAGCAACTCTAATGGAAACATGAGGCCTACCCATATGATTTTGGGAAAATTCACCTTAGGAGAAATCGAGGGAATACATCTCATATATATTATCTACGGGCCATCCCAAGACCTACTTATGAACAATAAAATGTTTTTATATTAGGAAACTAAGATAGGCTTCATAGAAGCCCTTAATAGATTGATGTTGGCATAGCTATTATTTCATTTGAAAAGACAGTCTGGCGCCGAAGCAGGGTTGTCTTGGAGATTGGCGGGACAGTGAGAAGAGGTGTTCTTCGCAAAATAAAGCAGTTACAAGCCAATTTACGAGTCATCTTCATTCATCTTTTCAAACAAAATGAAAGCTCGGTTAGCATATGTTCTGTATTCCCGTTATTTCATTCAAGATGATGCCAAAATAATAGTCGAATAATCCCAAAAACTGTTGAATAGACCATATGGATTTCCATTGCAGTTCATTTAGCCTTACCTTCCGAGGAGTATTCTCATCCCGGTTGGACCGGACTGCAGTTTCGTCCTCGCTCGAACTAGCCTCATCAACCCCATTAGCGGAACTCAACCCGTATAATCTCCACACGATAACCACTAAGTCACACTGCCACTAGGGCCCTTGAGTGAAAACACAAATTG